CATTTGTAATATATGAATATCGATAAGTAGTTTTACATTTAATTACAATGTTGCTGGAGTTCATTCACTTATCACCCATCCCACTGGCACAATAAGGGGCATGTATCTGTACTCTTGTGTTCATGGGCGCATGGGCTCTCTTAAGATATCATCTAGGCTTCCTTCTTCTTCTCTCCCTTGCTCTTTTTCTTCTTTTCTTTCTTTCCTCCCTTCCTTCGTCCCTCCCTCCCTCCCTCCCTCCTTCCCTTCCTTCCTCCCTTCCTCCCTCCCTTCCTTTCTTCCTTCCTTCCAGCCTTCCTGCCTTCCGTCCTTCCTTTCCTTCCTTCTTTCCTTCCTTTTTTTTTTTTTTTTTTTGAGCATCATGGCTCAGCACCATCTTTCCAAAGGAATAATTAGGTAAGATAAAGAAAGCAAGATTAAATTTAAAGGCTAGAAAGAAACAAGAAGTCTCAGCTTGGCTCTAGACCTAGCTTGACTTCCTTAAACCCATCTTTCTGTTAGAACAGAGTCTGAAAGCTGCCCTGGCACCACAATCACGTGGGGGCTCTGAGAAGCCTCCGTGCTCAGACACAGTGACAGAGCAATGAAACCAGAACCTGGAAGGGCAAAGCCAAGCTTCAGACCTGCGTGAGACTCTGCGGAGCTTCACGCTTCGGTGTCTTTGCGTCTTATTCACCACTGAGCTCAGTAAAATAATGGAGAAAAATGTAAATTAATAAAATTACAGTATCGGAGAGCGTAGTGATATTTCATTTGTATTTTAATAAATAAAGCTTGCCTAAAGATCTGAGAGAAAAACAGCCCCACTGGTCAGCCCTACAAACCAGACAGTGGTGACACACACCTTTAATCCCAGTAGCCACACTAGTTTGCCATAGAATCTGGGTTGTAGTGGTGCACACCTTTAATCCCAGCCCTAGAGAGGAATATAAGGCGGGAGGAGACAGCTCTCTGACACAGTCTCACTCTGAGGATTCTCAGAGCCAAGATGACCATTACAGACTGACGTAGAGGGAAGAGCCAGTGGCCGGATGTTTTGCTTTTCTGACCTTCAGGTTGAACTCCAATTTCTGTCTCTGGGTTTTTATTAATTCTGCTTACAGGAGAGTGTTTGGAAAATAACACAGGCTAACAACAACAAAGCAAAGCGGTACATAAAATTAAACATAATGCTTATTAGATCCTAATTACAAATAAGAGGTTTGGTTTTGGAAGTGTCTGGTTGTCTGAACTTTTTCCCAAGATGCACCACTTTCCATAAAATCCCCATTTCAGGGCAAGTGTCTCATGTCAGCCCCTTATTCCTAGGATGAGCAAGATATGCTCTCTCCTAGTCCTGTTAGGCACATGGCATGCCTGCCTTCGGGACTCTACAAAAGAGGACCGATAAGGTGAATGAGCCCAGCTGTGACAGTTCCTGTTGGCACTTTGCAGCTGTCTTAAAGCCAGCTTTGATAGGGCTGTTGTGAACCTCATTGGGGAGGAACTCGTGGCTTCTAAACAGAATCATCCAGGGATTGATGGGTTTATTCCTTAATTTAGCTACCCACATACTAACACATTCTATGATCCCAATTGTGTCATTGTGTGACAACAGATGACAGTCCCTGGCTTTACCTGTATCAAATTCAACAAACATTTACTAAGTATCCAAGAGTTTGAGCTTCAGCTCAGCAAGTTTTTCACCTTTAAGCATCCCAAGAGGTAGACAAATCGATTTTATTTCCCCCTGACCTACTTCCTCTGGCTGGAAAGAGGGTTGGGAAAGAAACAAACTTGCCTCAAGTTACATAGGCGGATGGGCCTCCGTTCCGCTCTCATAAGAGGTTTCATACTAAGAACACCTTTTCTATGAGGCTCACTGGACCCACCTGATAAGCAAGCCATCCATCACCCACGACACTTTCCAGGTCAAAGAAAATGAGGAGCAAGGTAGAGTTGGTACCCAGAGCCTATTAAAAAGAAACTTGGACTTGCTTAAAGGATGCTCCGAGATGAAGGTTAAAATAAGTGACCTTTGCTGACTCCATTTTTTTTCCTACTGCCTTTCTGCTCTACTTTCCGTTTCATAAGAAATCACCGTTTCAATTCCAGGTGGACCACGTAGAAGGTCGTCGTATAAGCAACACAGAAAATCAGAACAAATGAGCACGCAGGAAATGGCTCGCACAGACACTCAAGGGGCCTACGCGACTATCATTACTTTTAGTCCCCTTAGGGAGAGGCTTTCCGTGGTGGCCAGATATAATCTGATTGCCAAATGCAAAATGTCTTGTTAAATTTATATCCCTGTAAGCCCCTAATTCATTTATTTTGATGGCTTGGTCTTTTGTGTGCTGACCTTTACTAGGCTAAGGATCGGTCGCCAAAGCTTCCTGGGCAAATTTGTTATTTGGAGGCAAAGAACACAAGCGGTTTCTGACTTAGCTGCCATATAAAGATAGTATCAGTGTGAACCCAGCACTTTCCACACCAAATTTTAAAAAGGTTTCTCTAGAATCATGTGTTTCTTCCCCCATCAGAATGTCAAGCTTACTTTGTCTTATTTTAAACCTAGATGTTTATTTGCTTTTTAAAAAGTCTGTTTATTGTTGTTGTTTTTGTTGCTTTTTAAGAATCAGAGAAAAATTGAAATGAAGCAGGAACCCAACTGTCCAGAGGTTCAGAACTGCTGAACGAAGTGGTCGGACACAGGGTTTGTGGGAGAAGCTGTGTGTAAGGCAGCTGAGGGGGGCAGACGCTTGTGCTGAGGTGTGCGGGCTGTTCCCTCCAGAGGGTGAAACCAGAAGGTATCCTTTTATTTGTGTCTTTACCCTGGCTGGGTTGTGGATATTTTAGTAGGGTTCCAGCTGTGTCTGGAACCCCTCATAGATACAGATCCATTCATAAGGGTATCTTGTGGTACATACCATGACCTTCTGGACTATCCTTCCAAGACCCCTAAAGGACCGAGCTCTTGAAGTTACCCCATCAAGCCCTCTACAGCATTCTCTATAGAAGCTTCTGGCCCAGCCCTGCTCACGGCCTGTAGCTGTTGGTTGAGTTAGACAGAGCTCCTGGAGGGCGGGTCTAAGAGACGGCGACAACATGTTGGGGTGTCTAAGATGGCTCTTGTCATCTATAAAGCACTTTCCTTTAGGAGGTGATGCTTTGAATTTTACCATTAAGTCTGTGTGGTCACCTGTCTCAGCTTTTGCAATCCGATAAGTTGTGGGTCGTGGATGTTAAATGAACCCGAAAAGATCATTCTAGATCAATTACTGCCTACAGCTGGCTTATAGATCTTCCATCTCACACACCTGAGAGAAGGCGTGACCCCTGAGTTAGAACAGCTAGTCTGAAAAGGCACTGAATTGAGGTAACATCACCATGAGGTCAGTGTCCATAAGACGTTCTTCTGGATTTCCAGGGTTTCCACTTAAAACAAGAGCAGAGATAAAGTGTGCTAAGCTGTAATCTCCAAACTTTGATCTTGTAGTGTGGGATGCCTGACTAGAAATTCTGTCTCAATTCCAGGTGTGGCTACTTGGGGGAAAACCGTATCGTATGGCTTCAGTCTTCTTGTCCGTGAAGTGGGTACAATAACTGACTATCACACTGCCTATTCTACGGGCTTGTTACCAGACTCAAACAGGACGCTGTCACAACCTTCCTACTCTATAGTAATAGATAATTTTGACTTAGCATCCTGACGTGGAGCTCAGCCTGAGGTTGCGTGAGAGGGAGTTGCCTTGCCTCACTGCCCAGGGAGGAGGAGGTCAGTACCCTCACACATAGGCACATTTGAGAGCCTCTGCTGGGGAAAAAGGCATGAAAGAAACCTCGGCTCACACCCCTACATGCTCATGTTCGTGAATATTCTCCTGGTATATAAAGATAACTTTCACCATGGTGTGCAAGCATGGGAAGTTCTAGACTGCCGGCCCACAACCATCAGTGGATCCTGCATCAGTAAGGTCCCGAGCATGTGACACCCTGCAGGCCACCTCACCAGGTGAGAGTACTTCCCATTCATGCCTTGTTCTCCACAGTGATTTTAGAAAGGAGCCACGTGACCATTTGCCAAGGTGACGCTTCGGAGAAGGGGAACGGGAATGTTTTTCTTGGTCTTCAACCTAGAGCTACATCTAGCGGAGCAGTGGGGAGGCTGGCAGAGTCTGTCAGGGAGCTAATGGTTCTGGGAGTGTCGTGTCTGTTTCTGCACACATACCTGTATCTGTCTTCTACGCTAGCACCAAGAATCATTCAACCAAATCATGGAGCTTCCCCATCTGTCAGCGCGGACTGCATGGTGACTGGGTTAGGAAGTTACCAAGTGGTGGGGACAGACGTGATCAATTAATATGCACAGAGTGTTTAAAACAGTGCCGCAGACTCCGGAACTTATGCCCTTTATGAATATTAAGCATTATTCCCTATCAGAATTGTCTCACTAATCATTTGTAGAGAGATACAGGGTGAAAAATTAGCAGCTTTTCTAGAGGACGGTTTTATTGCTGAAAAGCGACCAGTAGACCTCAAAGGGCAGCGACATGCCATCATTCAAGAGCTTGGGAACACAGCCTCTAAGCTGTCACCTTAGAAGCTCGTTTTGAGGAGGCCACCAGGTGCTCTGGGCACACTCAGGCTTGAGAGGTGCTGAGCTGAGCTCTCAGGCGCAAGCAGAAAACCTTGGTTCCTTGTACTCTGACATGGAAACTGGCTGAGAGCATCTGTGCCATCTTAGTGGCGGTTATCCAGCCTGGATCTCACCACAGAGAGCTGCTGAGAGATAGGAGGGTCAGGACCACACCCACATCGACCTCCCCATTGGAAAGCAGCTCTTCAGAAAGCCAGTAAGATGGACACATCACAGGCCTCCATGGAATACATGGGTGACCTCAGAGTGGGGAACCAAGCCAAATGCACTTCAAGGAAGAGGTGGTGCCATTAGGAAATCTGCAGATGCAGTTTTAAAGGGGTGCTGTCAGCAGTGGCTACAGAGAAAGAAGGTCACTTACGTTAACCCAGGGATGCTCAAGGACCTGCAAGGCTGAAAATCTCTGGTCGACGTTAACCAACAGCATCATGTTGATGAGTTCCTGTGAAGGAGAATATTAGACTCCGTTTATCCAACCCTGGAGGGAGGAGCTGAGGGTTTGCAAATTCAGGATTGCAATCTCAGTTTGGAAAACCTCACAATCTAAATCATGTCACCCCACTTACCCATGACTTAGCTGGATCACACTTTCAAACGTTAGACTGTGAACTTTTATGCAGCTTAGTTGATAGAAAAATAAAATGAAATCAATATTTATGTAAATGCTATAAAATAAAATAGCTTTAGAAGCAAAGAAATTACTCATGTTAGACAATAACTTTTTACTAGGATGTAATACTTTTAAGTCAGATTTCATAGTTGTATAGATGTCACATAAAAAAAATAAAGAACAGCTTTGGGGCTAGAAAATGGCTCAGGGGTTAAGAGCACTGATTACTCTTCCAGAGGATGGGGTTCAATTCCCAGCACCCACATGGTGGCTCACAACCTGTAATTCCATTTTCAGGGGATGTGATGCCCTCTTCTGGGCTCTACAGGCACTGTACTCATGAGACACATATGCACACATGCAGGGCAAAACACACATATGCGTGAAATAAAAAGAAATAAAATCTTTTAAAAAATACTTGAAGTTTCTGTTTTGACAGACAAAGAAATGGGTCCTTATCCAGGCAGCATGTTTAAGGCTATAGAAAATGAATGAAGGATGATTTGCCAAAAGGTAGTTGATAAATTAAAAACAAACAAACAGTTTTCTGGAGATGCAGCATTAGGGGGCACAATGACTTTGCCACGCATCTGCCCACTTTGGATTATGAATGGGTAGACACATGTTATCCAGTTCTTTATGGGCTCCATGGGATTCCTGTGATCCGAATCCCTGCACACGGCAGTCGGAGGCAGGAGTACTCAAGTCTAGCCTGGGCTACATAGTCAGACTACATTTATAGATGAGGCTGTCTTTGCCTGTCCCTCAAGTCTCTCAGCTCGGGGTCTTTATTTTACCCTTCTCTCAACTCCTGATATTTCCCTAAGTTCAAAGGTGTTATATGATGGACGAAGATGAGAGGCCCGTGTCCAGCAAACGTCATTTTATGTGCATAAGCTCCTGCCTAAGCAGAAGGGTTTTTAAATCGAACTCTGATTCAGGAGAGAGAAAAAGCCATATGCACTGAATGACCAGAAAATGACCAATTTCTCTACACTGGATTTTGGAGAATATGAGTCAGCACTCCTGAACACAAAATAGCTTGAATATCTTTTACTCAAAATGGCTTTCAGATTTTGAATTTTTGTTTAAATTTTGCAATATTTGCAGACACATAATGGTATCTTGAGGATGGAAAAGCAAATCAAAACACAACATTTAATTGTTTTCTCTGCACTTTATATGAATAGCCTGAGAAACCCCTTTCCTAGTATATTCAACATGCTTGTATTTAACTCCAACCTGTCACAGGCGCAGAACTTTCCCCTATGGGATGACATGTGTTGACACCCAAGTTTCAGAGGTTATTGCCTTTTGGATGGGGGGGGGGTTTCAGACCAGGACTTTTCAATCTATAAACATTTGAAAGAGATGAAATTGTCCCCCCTGAGGTCTACCAATACAGCAGCTAAAACTATTCATTCTCTTAGATGCAGATATATTGTTTCAAAATTTGTTAAATATGCATAAAGTTCCCACTCTGCTCACTTTCACATCCAGTGTGATGTTATTTCTGTACTTTCACTTTCTGTGAAAAAGTACACCCCTCACCCTCAATCAGAGGAGCTGATCTTGGGTTAGCAGGGCGAAGAAGCACAAGGTCCGTCTCTCCTGCCTCTGAACCCCAGGCACCCTACGAGGTTGGACTTGAATAATGACATCTCCATGACATCCTTTGTGGTCATTTCAAACAGAGGCTGAGGCTGGGCTCTCTTCCCTCTGATGAATCAGTTGCTTGATTCACTTACTGATAAACCTCTCTGGTTTACTGACTACACAGAGCCACTGGTTGTGTACTGGTCATGATGCCAGAATTGCTGATGTGGCGGTGAACTAAACGAGGAAAAACCAGGGGCTAGAGGGACAGCTCGGCGCTCAAGAGCATTTGCTGCTCTTGCAGAGGACCTGGGTTCGAGTTCCAGCACTCATATCAAGTGGTCAGAAACCCCCTGCTACTCTAGTCCCAGGCAAACACACAAAACATTTTCATAAATGGACAAAAATCCTAGCCTTCACAGAATTTACATTCTAGTGAGAGAGTCTGGAAATTAATTGCCTAAGTAGGATTTGATCTCCTACCTACATATGTTTATGTAGGTTATATATATATATATGTTTAAGCAGGTGGTTATAGATGGACAGTTACATGACAGAGAGGATGGACATGAGAGTTTACGTTCTATTTTTGAGACTAAGAACATATGTTGTACATAAAACAGTAAAGCAGAGAAGGAAAACAAGGCGAGGAGGACAAGGTGAGCCAGGAAATGTCAAGAGCTACAACTGGCAGCAGGGGCCAGAGGTGGCTTCCCTGAGAGGAACCACGCAGGGAAAACAACAATCCTGTGCTGCAATGAAACCGCAGTGACAGCAAGATGGTGGCCCTGATGTCTGTGATGTCCTGGAGTCACATTTTATCACTGGTCTGTTAGTACATGCTGGTTTAATTAGAGTCAATGCTTCCACCAAGGCACTAGGCTCCAGGGAACAGGGCAGCGATGAACCCCCTACCTTAGCAGAATCTGACACGTTGTCCCAGTACGGAGGTGGGAAGTCCACCTGGCCCATCAAGATCTGGTCAAAAAGCACCTCTTGGTCATCACCACTCCTGTGTAGACAAACAAGAGAAAGCTGAGCTGGATGTCAGCTCATCACACGCCCCTTCAACGTGCCAAGTATGCTTCTTGTCTGAGCCACTGAAAATGTCAGTATGCAATTGTTTTGGTAAATTAACAAAGAATGAGGTTAAAGACAGCATGAGGAAGATTTATGGTATGCATGCAAATTAGCATGCAACATGGAAAAAAGAATGAGAACTGCAAGTGGTATTCTTATTATGCTCCCCGCTGCTACAGGCTCCTTTGTGCGAGAAGGGCAAATGGATCATTCAGAGAGCAGACAAATGACTTGTTAGAGCTGAATAAAGCATTGCTGCCCATACCCACGGAACGGAGGGAAACCGCACAGCAGGATGTAAGTGATCACACCGGCTGCCCAGATGTCCACCTTGAGGCCATATCTGACAAAAGGAATGATGCTGGAGTTAGCAAAGTCAGCCAGGACAAATTATACAGCCCCAAATCATGACTCTTCCATTGCCAACACAAGGAGACCAAGCAAAATTTAAAAAATCTGCCAACTGAATGCAAACCCCAGAAGAAAGTTCTTTCGTAGTATGGGCAGGCGCTGTACAAACTGCCACGGGAGGGAAGCCATCAGCAGTCCTACCTGGCTTTGGTGCCTGTGAACCACAGCAAGGCCCGGCTTGCCAAGAGAGCCCTAAAGGTGCAACGGTGGCATTGCTGTCCTAGAGGTAACCAACAGCTGTTTAATTAGACTGAAGACTTGGTCAACAGGAGCAAAACCATGCCAGCCATCCGGGGCTAGTGAGGCCATGGATCCTGAAGGAGAAGCCCTTTTCTTTTCTTTTCTTTTCTTTTCTTTTTCAAGACAAGGTTTTTCTGTAGCTTTGAAGCCTATCCTGGAACTAGCTCTTGTAGACCAGGTTGGCCTCGAACTCACAGAGATCCATCTGCCTCTGCCTCGAATGCTGGGATTAAAGGCGTGAGTCACCACTGATTGGTGACAATCCCTTTCTACCACCGTACCAAAGCAGTACAGTTCCTAACTGTGTTTCTATAATTTCACCTTATATCCTACTCTCCTCAAAGAAGCATCTCCTTGCAACAAAGAGTCCACTGTGGAAGCCACACCCAGTCAAAATGAACAGGACAACTGATTGTGGGGTGACCAGAGCTAGCGGATGCGCATACAAATCAAGAACTCAGGGTTCAGTGAACATCGTGGAAGAAGGGGTGGGAAGGCTGCAAGAGCCAGAGGCCCAAGAAATCCGATGTGCCATTGTGTCTCCAGTTTAACTGGGATACTCATGATACCTCAACAATACAGCTACCTAAACAAGATCTGACTAAGGACAGCACCGGTGGACATGCTAATGGTGAGGAGGCAAATCTTCTGGGACTCCAACCCTAGACAAAGAGCTATAAGCAACCAAGGAATGCTGACATCTGAGAGACAAGAATTGTCTTCCCCAGGGATGAACATTGTAGTTGGTTATTCAATGCCAAGTGGTCATCCCTGAAATCATACACATATAAGGAACAATAAACTGACCCATCAGGGGGTCATACTTACACATTAAAGCACATGTATATCGGATAATAACAAAAAAAGGTCATGAATTCTAGAGGGTCTGGGGGGAAGAAAGGGAAGGGGAACATGATATAATTATATTTTGACTTTAAAAAATTAAATAAAAAATTGCATCACATAAAAATTATATCTACAAAAAAGCAAAAAGTAGCCGGGCAGTGGTGTCATATGCCTTTAATCCCAGCACTCGGGAGGCAGAGGCAGGCGGATCTCTGTGAGTTTGAGGCTAGCCTGGTCTACAAGAACTAGTTCCAGGACAGGCTCCAAAAGCTACTGAGAAACCCTGTCTCAAAAAAAAAAAAAAAAAAAAAAGTAAAAGTAAAAGTAAACAGAACAGTACTGGAGAGATGGCTCAGCAGTTAAGAGCAGTGGCTGCTTTGCAGAAGACCCAGGTTCTGTTCCCAGCACCCACATGGCAGCTTGCATATGCAACTCTAGTTCCAGGGGATCCTACGCCCTCTTCTGGCCTCCACAGGCACTTCATGCATGTGGTGGAAAGACATACACGCTGTTCATAAACATAAAATAAAAACAAACTTTTTTTTTAAAAGATAAATTGGAAAAGACTGAGGATCGTGAACACACACACACATTAAATACTACAAGCCTGGGCTGATACATTTGCTGTGGACATTTTAATGTTTAGATAGGGTTGGGTCCAAATACCCTTGATTTAGAAGCAGCAATTAAAGATTATTTTTTAGTTTCTAAAATATGATATACTTCATCTTGTTTCTTCCCCCTCAAACACTGTAGACTGGACAAAATAAATATCAAGTATTTTATAGAAGATAGAACTGGTTCAGTGGGTGAGTAATTTTGTTCAAGATCACACTGTGTCTCAGCAGCAGAGCTGGACTCCAACTAAGCGCCCAACCACATCCTCTTTCTACTCAATGCACACAGTATGCATTGAATATGTCCTGGCCAGAAAGTTGCTAGGTAGAGGCAGTTTTACCGAGGGTTGGCAGCCAACGTACTTGTGTGAGTTTCCAAATCACTCAAATTTGGCTAACCAAATAGTCCCCAGGGCTGAGGAGACGGCTCAGTGAGTAAAATAGCTTTCTATCCAGCCAGATGAGTTTGAATTTCTTGACTTGTGTGGTAGAAAGACAGAGCTGTCTTCTGAAACTTCCAGAGAGTTGTCTTCTGACCTCCACATACATGTAAATAGATAAAAGAGCAAGGAGTCCTAAGGATTCCCCCAGGAGGCTTACTTGCTTGTGTGTTCTGTCTTTTTGTCTTTTGGGTATAAGTTTATGTCATGAGTGAAGAGAATACTCAGGGCTGGGAGGTAGCTCAGAGGCAGACTGCTTCTACAGTGTGCCGAACACCCTGGGTTCAATCCTTTGCAGCACAACACAAACAAACAAACAAAAAAAAAAAAAGCAAGAAAAAAGGTGCTGCGTTCCGCTTCTCACGCACCGCCCTTCCCAGTCCTTTGGTTGAAGGGTAGCATTTCAGATCTCTGGCTGTGGCTCTTGGTAACAGAATTAAAAGCAAGACAAAACAAAACAAAAAGCTGATAAAGCCTGCATTTTAAGTCACCCTGAGTTCAAATCCCAATTCAGTCTCTAGGGAGTCATGTGACTACAGGCCACTTAGCCTGCTGGATGACAAATCTCCACATATTCACCTGGGAAATGGCAGAAGCATTGTGCACCACCAGAGTGAGAACTGAGTAGAGTTTAAGACTTGGCACAAAGTAGGCCCTTTCGGAATGGGTTGCTCCCCTCTCAATCTAGGGCAGCACACACACCAGCCATTAGCTCATGGCCTTCGGAGGTCCAAGACGTTTGTTTTCCTTAGAGAAGCAATAGCTAAGACGACTAAAATGAGGCCAAGGTATAAAGCTAGGTGAGAAAAACGACCAGAGGGGAATTTATAACAGTATCTCATTCTTTTATATTTAAAGTGATTTAATTACTATTGATATGTGTTTCTCCACTTATCTGGACATTTATTAAATTTTTCATTTAAATTTTACCTTTGGCGAAGACCAAATGCAATCTTTAAACAGGATGACAGTCACTGGCAACTTGCTTGGGAAGACAAAGAAAAATGGCTTGCTGAAGAGGTGGGGGAGGGGAGAGAGTTGATGGCTAATTTTGCCCATGCCCACAGCTCTTTCATGATTCTTACTCCTTCGCAAGTTCTAAAGCCAAGGGGAGCACTCACCCAGTCTCTGCAATGATTTCAGGAGCCACATATGTTGGGGTGCCGCAGACTGTGTACAAGGGGCCATCAACAATGGTGGCCAGACCAAAGTCACCCAACTTGAGCGACTTACTGCCATCCTGGTGCTCGTACACCTAAAATAAAGGTAAAAAGAGTTAAAGGCCTTAGAGCCAAGAGCACTGAGCCTTAAGGTTAATGCGAATGAAACAGACAACAAAGGCCCGGGCAATCACGCATGGATAGCCATTCCGGAACATCTTTCTTGATTTCATGGCAACATTTGAGGCAAGGAAGGAATGGCAAATGGAAATTTGTTTAGCAAATAATGGGGGCATTTAGACAACAAGATGGAGGAGCTCATGGAAATGGTGATGTGGGGGCTGGGGAAATGGCTCAGTGGGCAAAGATGATGTCACCAAACCTGATGATACAAGTTCATCCCAGGACCCATGCACATGGTGGACAGATAGACAGACACACACACTGACATACACTCACACATACACACACTCACACACATATACTACTCACACACATATACGCATATACACAAACACACACCATCTCACACACTCTCACACACTCATACAATTCTCTCACACATACATTCACTCACATACACACACACTCAAATAATATATACACATACATTCATAATATGCAAACACATACAATACACACACACACACTCTCACACACATACACATAGACACACAATACACACAGTAAATAATAAATAAAAGTGAACACAAATTAAATGGTAATATAGGTTCCTATTTACTGAGCTGAGTTATACTTGGGAAGTGAGGATAGGATCTTCAGGTTGTTTTGTATACATGTTAAAAACACATGAGACCAAAATCTGAAATAACAGTAGGAACTGGCATTCCTACTCTAGGAAGCAATTATGAAGATTTCTCTCTTTGCCTGCCTGCATTTGATGTTTTCCACAAAAGGAAAACTAGAGAGTCTCTCACTCTGAACACACCATTCACGAAGGCAGTCACTTCCTTTCCACACACCACCCTTCAGTAATAGAACAAAGCATCCACGCAGATATTAAAATATTTTGTTTTCAGTGCCCTACATTTCCAGCAGGATCCATTTCTAATTTTTATTGATAATTGAAGAGCATGTTAACATCTCATCTCACCTGTGGCAATCTGGAAAGATTTAGTGGGTGTAGAGCCAGCACTCGGCCTAGCGTTCCTTATTAGGGCAGTAAGTCTGCAGTCTTCCTCTGAACAAATCAAAACAAGCAGGCTCGCACCTCTTAGACAAATACGTAAACTCCTTAATGGTAGTCCAAGACGGCACCAGTAGGATATGATTTTTAAAAAGCAGCCCAAACAACTTCATTGATTACGAAAAGGGTAAAGGGGCACGCAGAATTCTCACTCGGTGCCCTCTCCTGGGAGCAGTAGGTTGGAGAAAGCCCCAGGTCAATCCTGTTTCCAGATCTCAAGAGCAGTCTTCAAGAGACCCTCCAAAGGAATGGCCTAGCTTTCGACACTTATCAAAATGATTTACCCAGCAAGTTGAGGCTTGCTCGTCCCCCTGTGATTTCTTGCCAAAGCGGTCACTTGCTGAAGCCGAGTGGGCCTCTTGCACAGCAAGGCACATCTCCGCATATCAGGAGCAGTACTACAGGCTACCTCCATCTGCCTTGGCATGCCACCGAGGCACTGGGGCAGATGTTTGGCCAGCTCAGCTGCAGGGTCAGCGATGACCAACTGGAGCTGACTGTTTCGGTGAGGCAGATCTACTTCTCAGGGGCAACTATCTTTTCTGTATAGAAATGATGCATCTACATGTTATCCGCACTCACAATGGGGACTCTTTGTCTCTGGGGTTCTGGATCCTGGTCAAGTTTGGTCTGCCCTTGGCTAGGCATCCAAAGACTTAAGCAATCACCGGCAGTTTGGCTGCTTGGGAAAAGACAGACATGCGTCCAGTTGTCTTCTGGGGTGGGTGCTATCTTCTCTACTTAACGAAGCAGCTGCATGGGTTTAAGTTAGCACTTGCAGGCACCAGATCTACGAAACACTATAGTTTCTCCAGCCTAAATGCTATCGCACTGGCCGCTCTGGTCATCCAAACAATAAGCAAATGTTTTCCATGAAAGGAAACCTGAGATGGGGCCACTGAGATTGGCTGTCTAGTTCATTTCCCGTACAGACCAGAGCTGTTTACCTCCTGAATTCCATTTTGGTATCAATAACTTTTCTAAATTGCAGAATGCCCTCTTGCTTTGATGTTGTGTGGGGTCTGAGCACTCACAATGTGTGCTTTGCCAAGCTGAGCAGATTATGATATATTCAACCCCATTTGTACAGGAAGTTTCCCACCCCTACACACAGTATCTGTATCACCGAGCTGCAGTCACAAGTTTGGCAAAACCAGATGTTGGAGGACGCAGTCGTCAGAGGCTTGTTGTGGTTCTGGATATGACTGTAATTTCCGCACAGGAGGGCCACTAATGATTGCCGTTTTAATAGGAATTCTGTCTAAGTGCATACAAATTATATTTAATACAGATGAACAATGTAGTTGAAATGAAGGAAAATGTTAAGGACTGGGGTTCGCCCTCCAGCACTGCAATAGACAAACAAACAAACAAAACCCCAAAAATCCCAACCAGCAAACGGAAAAGAAAACACAAACATGCTGTGTAAAATAATGGAGACATCCTTTAAAATATTAGCGGGCCCACACACTGCAAAACATTTACATATATTGAAGCTATACTTTTGTATTCGTTTTTTTATTCCTTTAATCACATGCACGTGTAATTACCCCCCTGCCTTTTCAATATTTGAAAACTGTGCAGTTTCCACGCGTGTAAAGAGACTCAAGTTGTCGCCTGGCAGGAGAGACAAAGAGCTCGGAGACAAAGGCGAACTCCATGTCACTGAGAACATTTCAAGACACCAGGCCTCTGCGAAAGCTTTCACAAAATGCTTTTGCAGGTGGATGAATATCTGCCCAGGCCTCTAGTTGGGAATTCTGTTTAACTTGTTGTCAGACAGGGCAGGAAGCAAGGTTACTTTGGGGTTTCTCCTCTGTCAACACTGTGGGAAAAGGATGGAGAAGAGTGGGCTCAGCGTTTGTTCTCGTCCAATGGGGGTGCCCCTTTCTAACATGGCGCACTGAGCTCTCACAAATGGGGCTCATAACGCGTGCTGGCTGCAACCAGAGGGCATCGATTCTATTTTGGTTGCTTTGTTTTGATTTTTTTTTTTTTTTTGAGACACAGTTTCTTTGCAGAGGCCTGGCTGTCCTGGAAGTAACTCTGTAGACCAGGCTGGCCTTGAACTGGCAGAGATCTGCCTGCCACTGCCTCCTGAGTAAGGGGATTTACAGGGATGCACCAATGAGGCGCATCAGGCCTGTGACCAGTGAGGCCCCTTGTAGATGTAACTAAAACTGTATTTAAAAAAAAAATCACAACTTTCTTAATTCATTTGTTTGTGGTGTATGCATTCTTAAAGCTATCTGTACATGGTATTTCCATGGCGACCCCGAATTCATGTGGAACCAAGGTTTTAAGAGTTCAAAAAACATGAGGGTTTGCTCACAAATTCCTATTTAAGATGCTAAAGCCTCAGGGTGGAAGAAATGGCTGCGCCATTCAAAGCACTTTCTGTTTTCCCAGAGGACCCAAGTTTGGTACCCAGCACTCATATCTTGTGGTTCACAACTACCTGAACTCTAGCTCCAGGGCGTCTGACACCCTCCTCTGGTCCCCATTGGCACTGTGCTCATGTGAACACACACACTCAAAAACAAGATTTTAAAGTTGCCGTCAAGCTCCACAAAATGAAATGCAAGCTTATTTAAAAAAAAAAAAAAAGGCAAATCTCAGAATGAATTCTGAGGTTCTGTTGGGGCAGCTCTCCACACTGTGACCATGTGACCAGTCCTCAGGAAGGGTGCTACCAGACTCCAAGTACAGGCCTGACAGCCTGACCCCCTGAGTTGGGCTCCGGTAGAGGGGGACCATTTTGCCACGACTGTATGTTAAAGCCTCTATAAAACATGACCCCCACGTTGGGCGGGAGCACATTAATTGTCAGTCAAGGAGTTCAGAACACGAGGTATGATTTAACGTTCATCCCGGGCCCCTTAAATACTATAGCTGTTCCCCCACATTTTAAACACTGAGGGGCTATTGAAAAGACGGAGATTAGTGCAAATTACCCAGCATGTAGTGCTCGCACTGTTTTAACTAAGCAATAAAACTGTGTAATTGTACAACACTAATTGAATGCAGCTCCGCGTAATTGTGGGCTGCCATATGCATCCTATTACGGTAAAGACTGTCAGGGTTGTGTAAGCTACCCTTGTGATCATTGCAGATGGCTACAGTCAGGGAAGTGGTTCTCTTGGGTTTATTGTATGGCCATAAAGACATCTCACGGATTGACAGACTAAATGTGTCAAATGACAACAATTATGAAAAAGGTTTCAATTAGAAGCGGAGGGCGCGCCCTACAGGGGATCAATATACAGAAAATTCGCATATAGATTTGGGAGATGGCTGGCCTCTATTTTTAAAGGTGGCTTTATTTTGGGGTCGTTGGGGGTTATCTGGAGTTTCGGGTCGGCTGTAACCTGTTGAACAGTAGGTATTTGGGCATCTGCTGACTTCTCTCGGATGGAAAGCTGAGACCATTTGGAAAAGTTTTTTTTTCTTTGAAAAAATTAATATATCCTCATAAAACTTCAGCAGTGACCATAAAATATGAAAACTCACAGATAACCTGAGCCTGGTCAAGTGGTCTTATGGGGGAGGAGAAGCTGAATGATAAAACAGACGCGTTAGAAACGCACGACTCCCAGAGCTGCTACAAATTCAAGGCTAGCCCTGCTGCAGCAATGGCCGACGACTTGCTAGTAACTGTGGAAATAGCTTCACAGAGCGGCTCAGTGGAAACTCACAGTGACTTCACCAAATAGACTGGCAAAGTGGCGTGAAATGGACAAAGCCGTGAGAAGGGCTCAGTTTCCCTTTTATTATATATGGAGTCCCTTTAAAAGGAGGCTGATTTTCCTGAAGCCGTAGCATATGGCCCTCACAAAATGCTCTTTAAGAAATGGTTTGAATCTAAGTCTTTAATCCTCAAGAAGCAAA